GCGCCGCCTCCCGACTCCCCGGCGTGGCGCGTGCCGCGTCCCATTTCATCCTCCCCACGACCCTTCCGAGGCGGTATTGCCATGAGCCACGTTTGCAAATGAAAACCTCCAGCCTCACGGAAGAGAGTGATTTGGCCAAGCTGGCTCAGCCGGGAAGGAAGAGTGGGCAGATTTGAATGCAGCACTTCCCCCCCCCTTCTTCTTTTACTCTACTTTGCGGGGATCTCGACCCCTAGGGCATCAAAGAAGGTAATTTGCGCCCAGTGATGTGATTCTTCCGAGCAGCCCCGGGGGCGCCTCCTGGGGAGCGGCTGGGCGCGGGGCGTCAGCTGCGCTTAGTGGTGCAGGCGAAGGCGGGTTTGTCTGCCTGCGGTCCCTGTTTCTCCCCTTTGATTCTCCCTCCTCCTGGAGCCCCAGATTCTTAACACTTCCCACGTCTTGACAAATGGCGACGCCACCGACATAAAGACAATCTTAAGCAAACTTGTGCAGTGGGCTTGTGCAGTGATTTCTCCCGCTCCTAGAGCCGAAGGTCCAGCAGTCACCGGCTGAACCTGGAGGAACCTCACTGGGTCACCTTCAGTGAACTGGAGAAACTTGTTCTGACCAGGGGCTGAGACCTGAACGCTCCTTGGCTGCTTCCTCACTGGAGCTATGCTGAGTGCCCAACTGTCTACTGAGGTGAGGTGAGGTGAGGTGGGGAGGGTTGGGGGGTGAGATTGAGGGGCAGCCCAGTAGTGATAACAAGATGTACTTATGTGGCGCCAGGTGCTCTGAGAGGCTCATGTTTCATCATCATAAAACCATGGAGGCAGAAAGTATTATTATTCTCGTTTGGGTCACGAGAGACCCAGAGCTGCAAGAGATAGTCTGTTCGGTCCAAGATCCTGCAGTGGCAGAGAGGGTTCTGCCCAGGGCTTGGGACCACAGAGCCAGTCCAGGAGTGATGATTGTGATTTCCCCATAGAAGGAGGTGGGAGGCACTCAACAAAGACACAGATAAGATTGTCCCAGGAGAGATCGCATTACTCCTCAGATTCTCAGGTGGACTTGAACCGGCTTTAGGATATGGAGGCGGAAGAGGGAGTGAGGAGTGGGAACACCCCCTCGCTTTTCGTCCACATCCAAAGAGGAGATCCAAGGTTCAGTCAGGAAGGCTCTTTTTTTTAATTAATTGTTTTTTGTTTTCAGAAATAAAGTGGAAGTGACCCAGTAAGAAAGGAAAATGTGCATGGCCTGCCCTGGTCACACAATTAAAACATATACGCTGGCCAAAGGTACATCAGGGCTCCACCCATCCCTTCAGAGAGAGAAGGGCCCTTTTTGACCTGGAAGCCTATTAAAGCATTCCACAAGAGAATTCTCTGCGCCTTCCGAGGGGACACTGTGAGAAAACCTTGTTCCTTAGAATGCAGACACACAAAGGGTTTTGTGCAAATACTGAGCTCTGATTCTCTAAATGCAAAGAAGCATTAGGGATGGTATGTGAACAAAAGGCTGGACAGAGGATGCACGCCCAGATGCTGTCTTGGCCAGGTTGCAATCTGAATGATCTAATGTTTTCTGGCTCCCTCTTGCTTGGCTTTTCCAATTTGGTTTGAATATTTGCATTACTGTATTATTTTCCCTGTACAATGGCGTTGTCTGTACACAATTAGGTCATGTTCATAGTTGGGTGAGGACACACTTCAGATGTGAGATGAGCTACAGCTGGTAGCTGGTTCCCACCCTGGGATGTGTATTTAGACCCCAGCTCATTGGTCCCAAAGATTCTACCTGCACTCAGCATGTGAAAGTTTTAATGTAAGTTATCCAACCAAGCGAGAAGAACCACGCCATCCCTTTGTCACGGTGGGCAGGCACATCTTGTTTCTGTAAGTTTCGGGCTGACTTGTTGATCTAATCACGCTGTTCCTTGGGCCAAATCTAACCCTGTATTGCTATGCTCCAGACAAAAGACAGGACCGCTTCTTGGCAGCCTGGGGCTTCCTGGTCTGTGAAAGTTCTTCTGAGGTGAACTCTGGGCAAGAGAGAAGGAAAGGAAAGGAACAGAGTGAGGAGGAATGACCAGCTGCCCCCAAAGGTGAGCCCAGAATTGCATGTAGATGTTCCAGCCTGCACAGAGGCTGGACTTGGAACTACGACTCTGAAGAGTGAGAGAAAGGGGATCTCAAAGGAATGGAGGCTTCTTTGGCAGGTGAAAGCTGATTAGGGCTGTGTTTACAAAGGGCTCTGTGATCCCTCACTGTGTAAACTTTCAGTGATCCCCACCCCACTGAGCCAGCTTTTCAACCAACGGAGTCCATGGCCCCTTT